GAGAGAGAGAGAGAGAGAGAGAGAGAGAGAGAGAGAGAGAGAGAGAGTTGGAGAGAAAGGAGATAAGAGAGGAAAGATGCTCGATTATCGGCAGGTTGTAGCCATTTGATTTTACACTGTCCTTTATTATTCGACCTCAACGACACAAATATTTTCGGGTATGAATTATTCACGACATAAAAACGAATGCGATGGTTCTTTTTTGCCCAACCGCATCAACACCTCCACCACCATAACCACCTGCAATCCGGCTGATTTGGCATTAAATTGCGTAACGCTACTAATTCACTTACACACAAATGTGTGATTTTAATTCGTCATTGGCTTTGTCCTTGTCTTTTCCGCTCTCTCTTTTATCGCTCCTTTGTCTTTTCTTCGGAAACTAAAGATCCAGTGCAGAGATGGTTGATCGTTTACCGCAAGTGTATGGAAATGTGTATCGGTATATACTTAAACGTTTACCTTTGCGTTGAACGCGCGGAGCACATGCGTCAACTCATATTTTAGTGAGAGCGGACGCGTTATTTAACGCAAAGGTAAATCAATGTAAATATACCGTACTGTACCGAGTACAGTAAATTCAACGAATTGATATACATTTACTCCATCTCTGATCCAGTGAGAACGAGAGCGCGTGAGTGCTGAACTAATGGTTTTGATAACAACATCACAATGACAATAGGAAATTTGTTTTAGCCTCCTAGATGTTCAATCAACCTAAAGCAAATCTAAACGTGTTGTCATTTTTATGTCTACATAAATGCGAAGAAGGAAGCGCATAAAATGTAAGAATGGCTTCTCCAACAGAGTGCGTACAATGGTCGATATTATCAAAATAAAAAAATATCACACACACCAGCCGAAAAGGAGAAGAAGAAGTGAAAAGAGAGGGAGTCAAGACAAGGCACTCATCCATCGGTGGTTGTTCTATGAGCCGCGCAAAATGCTCGTCGTCGGATTGTGCTTTGGTGAAAATGAAATTTTATGAATGTCATTAGTAAATATGTTTAGCTAATCAAACTGAAGAGTAGAGACATCAAGCCATACGACCGAAATAGATGTGAGTGCGTATAAAAAAAAAGACGTAAAAATGGCACACCCACATTTCTTAGGGCGTCGTCGGTTGAGTTTTGGTTTCAGATTTTACATGGTTTGGGTTTGAACAGCAGGTTCAACACTCAATTGTTGTTGCATTTTCGCTGTCGTTTATTAAGTCGTTTGTTTGGCAAAGTCGAACACAGAAACAATAAAACAAAACACACACACACACAAACATTGAAAAGAAACGGAAACAAGCTGACTCAATTTCACCGCACCGCAATTGCATCGACTTTGGATAGTAGAATGGAAAAAGACGTGACGCAATTTTTCCCATTCGCATTTTTTCAAATTAATAATTGAAATGGATTTTTTTCTCTGGTCAAATTGATAGTTTTTCTGCTGCTTTTTTTTTCAATTTCAACTAAGATGGCCATTGCTTGTGATTGTGGTTACACCAGCTCAACCGCAACATAGTGTGTGTGTGTGCGCTCATGTTTTTGTGCTCTTCATCTTAAATACTCGGAACGAATCTAATAATAATTACTAAATGGAAAATTACACAATTCCATGAACGGTTTGTCCCCATTTTTCCCTTCATTCATTTATTCATTCGTTCGTTGCTCATTTGAAATGCTGCTCTTTCACTTCATTCTTTCCTGTCTGTCAGTCGATTGGTCGATTTTTGAACGTAAAACGCAGCTGGAAACCGTGCAGCTGACACGGACCACCTGAATCCAGGCACTCCATTCTACGCTCGTCGCATTTGTACAAAAGCTCAACTTTTCCATTTAAATATTAAATATGCTGAGTGAGCAAAAAGTTTCGTACCGAAACACAAGTGCGCACCACCACTCCCTGCGTGCATGTCAGCTCTTCTTCATCGCATACACAAACACACAATTTTTTTTCCCTATTGTCGTCGTTGTTTTTTTCTGCTATCAATTTTGGCGATAGTCAACATTGACGCACCAAGCCAGAGCCAGAGCCAACATATTATTTTTCGGTACGTAAACGGAAATATGTGCGATTTGTTGACATTCAAATTGATATGATTGGTAATTTTATGAGTAAACTCATTTAACTTCTGTTTACATTCCTGCCGCTGCTGTGTGTATGTTTTTTTTTGTTCCTTCGGCCCCTAGGTTAGGGCTGTCGCTGCTGCTTCATTCACCATTTTCGCTTTTTTTTTTCTCTCTTTCTGTGTTTCTATTTCGGATTCCTCTCCGTTACGCATTTGGTGTGCTTATTTCAAGTTGTCGATGGCCATTCACTTGTGTGTACGTCTCTGTGCGCCGAACACAGTCACCAGAACAATTTTGACTTATCTGGTATTACTAACGAGGTTTGGTCAAATTTGAAGAAAATTTCTGACCATAAATCAAAATGGGGTATTCGCGTATAAATTGTATGTGTTTTCAACCGTATTCGAATATTGCTTCGGTTATTTTAACATGGAAATTTTCTACTTGGTCAAAGTTTTCGTCTCTCTCGCTGTGTTTGTGCTTTTTCGTTGTTGTTATTTTTTTATATCGTCTTCTAGGACAGACGACCGCATTCCATTATTCGATTTCAGCTTGGCACTGCGTACATCAAGAGAGAGAGGGAAAGAGAGAGAGAGAGAGAGAGAGAGAGCGCAGCGTCAAAAAGATGTCACACCACTCAAATAAAATCTATCGAATACCACAGCTGTCAATGAGCATAGCAACCGAATGCCAGCCACCACCGCAAATGAAGGCCTCATCATCAGCACAGTGTAATTGTAGTTTGAATAACATTGCCTAGCAAATCGACTAGACTAATTAGAAATGGGAATTTGTGAACCTAGTTTGTGACAAGAGAAAACCACACTCCAAACCAAAATACGCAAAATGAACTCATGTTTGCCTTATGACACTTGGAAATAATTTTCGGATGGTAAAACGAACACAGCAAATGGCGGTATAGGTAAATTGCTTTTTCTTAAGCAAAAACCCCCGGTGGACAAATAAAGGTTTAAAGCATTCCAAAAGCTCAGATGTTATGCGAACCAGTTTTCAGGGTCACTTTGTAAAGAGTTTAAACTGGAGAAAAAAATAACTTGTTCATAAAATTTTAACTGGAGTAATTAACTTGAGCGATAGTCATAAATTATATACCTACACAAAGTGTACGGGTCGGATGAAAATGTGTTGGTGATTTTTGTGTATGCACTTAACACCATCTTCATCTCAGTTCGAAATTCGTATCTAGTTTGTTTTAGTTTTTTCGAATAGAGAAGCTTTTTGGTTTTTGCCTTGAGTGCGTCACATCACGGAAATTATTGCCGAAAATTCGATTTGGCTGGCAAAAGCACTCAATAAGTTAGAAACTAATAGAATTGCATCGGTAATTTATTGATCAAAGAAACAGTTTGTCGCTGCTTGTGCGTATGTATAATATGACATACAATTTGTAGCACGATGGCACATGTTGTTAGGAAGGCCATTCCAATTTGCATGCATGTATCGAAACATATAACACACTTATACACACCAACCGTCCATTATTTGCTTTTAAATTAATAGTTTAATTTAAATAATAAATCATTACTTACCGCTGTAGACCGCACGTTATGTCGGTGGGCCGAAGCACTAATGCAAACGTCACCGAATAACACATAATTATTCCTGCCAATAAAATATAACTCAATTCTCGGCCAGATGCTCGAACCACTGGTGTATCATTGTGCCTTGATTGGAAATTGATTAAAGTCGCATAAGCCATCACCGTCGCCGCACCCATATCGTATCGCATCACACCGTATGTAGATCGACCAATCGTTATCATCAGGTTGTGGAGAGAGGAAGCGACAAGCCAAACGTAGGTTAGGCAAATAAATTTCATCGAATAATTTATTGCCGCAACATGAAGGCGAAATAGAGACAGACAGATTGAGTCGAGAAGCATATGCAAAGAGAAAGAGGAAAGGAAAATCAGTTTATTTGAATACATTAATGAACAGCCAATTATCTCATTTAAATGGATTCAGCCAGCAATTTAGATGACGAATGTGATTGAAAGCATGGTTTCAATTGTTCATTCCATGCGAATGAGTTGGCGCTTATAAATTCCAATCCAACCATTGATGAATCCATTATTCAGCCGTTTTGGGCGTAATCAACAGTTAATCATTCGTCTATTATAATTAAGTTGTCAACTATTTGGAAAATTTGATTGCAGTTTGGTTTCTGGTGAATGCAAAAGTGATTTCAAAAATATTTTAATTTCACTCAAATTCGCACTGAATTATCTGAATTTCGAATGATTGGCGTTGGAATCTGTTTAAAATCGATGAAAAGAACTATGGGAAAGCTCACTTGGGAAATAATTAAGCAATGGAATGAGCATATATTTTTGCTCGCTACTCAAACAATTGTTTGGGCCTATTCGCCACTACGAATCAAGTTGATTAAGAAGTTTCGATTAGAGAGCGCTCCATCATTTGCAAATAAATAACTGACCAAATCAATTTTAAAGTGACCAATGTGAGGGAAAGAGAGAGAGAGAGAGAGAGAGAGAGAGAGCGAAAGAATACACGTGTGCCACATTCAACCGTTAGACCGAAATAAAATCGGTTAATTTGTTGGGTTAATAACGCATTTTTGGATTGCATCGTGTTACACTGTTCCATTTTAGGTTTCGTAAAAATAAATGACTGTTAAATATTTACCGTAAGAATACGCCAACTACAAAGAATGTAATTAACATTCCAGTTGAGCTGAAGGTCATTGCACCAATAGCCCAGCCGGATTCCAGCCGCAAATACTGTTCCGGCAAATCTTGGCAGTGCTCCTTGTATCGATCGGGTATCGTTCCTTTTTGACATGCTATGCACTGCGTTTCATCGTACGGATGACGAATCTGTGAAGAGAAAGAGAAAATGAGAATGGCAAATACACGCGCACACATCGAAACAAACACAAAGGGCATGGGTGAATATGGAGCACGTAGCACATTGGCGCGGCACTTATTACAAATATTCGTTGGAATGAACATATTTCAAAATGAATATTTTGTTGTGTCGTATTGTTTTTGGGCGGTATGTCGTACATCACTATGAGATAAGAAGAAATACAATGGTGAGGCGAGGTGAGACGAAGTGATATGCATTGAATTAAGAAAGCACAACACGAAGCGTGCTAAGCAAAGATCGAAAAGTAATATTAATAAAATATTGGCAAATCGTGGCCCAATACGGTGTCGCAATAGCAATAAACCCGACTCCACAGCCTAAGCACTTACACACGCACACGCACACACCAACGCAATAATGAAACAACAACAACAAGAAAATCAACAAGAGCTCTTGGGCAAACTAAATTTCCAAATTGAAAATAAATAAAAAAAAATGTCATTTAGATTTATACTTTCGATGGTTGGTGGTGTACACTACGCCATGCGGTGCTGCATAACCATCATCGGCGATCGATTTTGAGCAGAATCGAAAAAAGAGAAAAAAAAACCAATCAAAAATATCGCCAAAGTTGGAAGAAAGAAAGAAAAACACATGCCAAACGGAAAGTGGGCAATATTCTAATAAAAAAACGAATGTACGACGCTTTTGAATTCAATAAAAATTCAATAATATCTTATTGAGAGAGAGAGAAAAAATGCCAATGTATGTGGATCAAGAATGTGTACAAGACAATCGTACAACTTGTGTGAAAATCGAATAAGAGAAATCCTTATTGAAGTCCTTCTCTCTGTCCGCTTGGCGCATACCGTATATCCGAGTCACAAGAAGGGAAATGGGGAGAAAGAGAGAGAGAGAGAGAGAGAGAGAGATAGAGAAATACAGGAAGCGAGATGTACAAGTTCAGCACCCACATAGGCATACTATGACAAATCATGCAACCAGTTCAACCGAAGCAAACCACTTGTGACCAAAAACCGATTTGTGCTCAATTCACCTGCATCAAATTGATGCATGGCACTGTGAATATATGTGTGGTATAGAAAATTAGATATTGAATGCATTGGATAGTAGAGGGGAAAAAAGCGAACCATCGGAAATAATCGGGTCATGTGTGAATTCTCAATTCTGTGATATAGAATTTTGGTCGAATCACTGATATATGTATAGCCACCCACCATCATTCGCACCACTGGCACACTTCATATAGTGCACAAATATGTAAATAGTACGTGTTTACTGTTTTGGCAAGTAAATATTTGTGTGTTTTTGTTGCTGTTGCTGTTGTTGTTGTTTACAACCAGTTTTCCATTCAATGTTTAGCCCCAAATTGTTACTATGTTCTCTGTGTTATGGGTGCTGTTGTGTCTGTTGTTGCTTCAGTTGTCTCTTTGCATTTTGTGTTTTCGCAACTGACGCGAATGCATCCACGCACTGTGTGAGAGAATTGTATCGCATTTTCGATGCGATCTTTGTGGACATCCAATCTGCATACACACACACACACACACACACACACACACACACACACACACACACACATGTGTATATTTCGATGAAAGGAAAATATTTGCAAATAGCATCGAAAATAAATCAAAGAGAATTATTGTGTGTTGCATGGATTTAGTTGCATTGACACATTTGAATGTGTCAGTGTGTGTACGGCCAAAGGCAAGCAACATTTTCGGAAAAACCATTGACTCGAATTCCACCACACGATTCGACACTTACCACCAATTTTATTTGCATCTGACAACAGCCAGTGCAGATCGATATACGCGCCCAACCAAATGCAAAGCTTTATGAAATGCAATGAATGCAACATACCATATATGAATCGACAATGACACGATGAAAGGGAGATGAAAGGGAGTGGGAGAGAAAGGAAAAGGAAAAGGAAAAGAAAAGAGAAAGAGAGAGAAAAAAATTGCGGTCACGATCATCAAACCGGAACCAACACAAAATGTAGCAAACAAGAGATATGGTCATTAGTAGGATTTTGAAATAAAAACAACGAAATGACACAATCATGAAATGAATACCTTCCTCTAGCCCATTCAACACGAACGCATCCATTGAATTTTGATAACAAACGGGGCGCACACAATTTTGCAGCAGGCACACAAGACCGATGGTGTCGAGACCCATGAATGCATGGAGTCATCAGAGCAACGGTAAAATCACCACGATGAATAGTGAAGAACGGTTTTGGAGAACGGAGAAAACTCACAAATCGGAAGAGTGTGAGAGAGAATCGTCCAAAGTATAAAAACGTCACATTTTTTTCCCTTTTCGCAAGCTATCAACTTGAACGAATCGTTTGTACAACACAGTTCAAATAAAATACACTTCGGAAATAGCAAACAGAAGTTGGGACATATCTTTTATTATTTTCCAAAAGAGCAAAAGAGCATGCATTGTCAGCTCCAATTGAGTTGCGAACTGAGAAGAGCTTTACTCAATGTGCGGTAAATCCGTTTAAGAATTTTCGTTCTACTCCGTAGCAAGGTACAACTTTGACTGGTAATATTTACTCGATTGATCATTGGAATTGACAACTGAAAAGTAAGTGCAGACATCATACCAAAGTCGCTGAACGAATATTGCTTCAGCATCGGGAAAATCGAGCAGAAAATGATAAGTTGAAAGGAATACGGGAAGCTTTTTTCCTCTTCTTTTTAGTTCGAAAAGGTTTTTGATTTAATTTTTTGCTGTGAAATACGTAGGAACTGTTCCATTGTCAAACGGTCAATGTGATCGTCAAAGTATAATGCCATTGGACACTTCTGTCAGGATATTTCAGAAATAAAAGGGATTTCATTTAGTAGAAATATAACGAAATATACAGAATCCGACTGTGCGTTATATCTTCTTTTTCTATCAAGAAATGGCACAATCAAATTCACGTTTTTCGATTGCATTTTTCACTGCATCTTGCAAAAAGAAACGAAACTCAAATGTAACCAACTTTGTCGATATATTTGCAATGTGTGTGTGTGTGAGCATCTGAACAAACTTGGCAGCCCTAATATTGTGTGCGTTTTATCAAGAGAGAATACACGATGTTTCGAATGAATCGAATGGGATATTAATCAAACAAGTCAAATTGTAATGTAAAAGTATTTGGAAATTCTCTCTTCTTCTTCTTACTCCATGCCATATTCATTTCGTCGCTATTTCAATCATTATTCTACTTCCGGCCTTATTCGATCGAGTTTTCAACGAAAATGTAGTCAAGTAGAAATTGGAGAACTTTACGCAAACCCATTCGAAATCTATTCAAAACTTTTCATTCTTTCCGAAAAAAGAAATGATTTCTTTGGGTTGTTTTTTTTTTTCTTCTTCTTCTTGCCTTCTTTCTTCCGTCTAAACCGTAGAGCTTCCGCTGGAACATGGAATATAAGGCGAACGATAGATACATATAAATAACCACATTTTAACTCGGTAACACTCGGCTGCTCTTGGGTGGAAATGGAATGGAATTGCTGCCATTGTACATTTGGCAAACTCTCAACATTCATTCTATGAACAACAAGTGAAATCCACATTCGCTTGACCAGACATTTGCCGCTCTCTCACATTCACCAATTTCTGTGTTATGTTGCCCAAAATAGAACGGCCAAGTGGCATTCCTTACATGTATGTACACGAAATTGTCAACTTGTTTTTTTTTTTTTGAAGTGACACTTACACGTGGCTTAGGCCATGTTCTATCAAATACTTTTCTCATTGTTTATGTACATTCATTAGATTACTTGCGCTATACGTTTTGTGCACAACGATTTATTTCATGAATTTAAATTCCGTTATGCTTTATACATGCCTTATAATTTCAATTGTTGTATGTAAATGGCTTTGATATCGAATGACTTTAAAATGAAACGACCGACGAAACGACGTACATTACAAATTCATAGAAACGACATCGACAGTGTGAGGCACTGAAAATTATGAAAATATTGATAAGTTTGCCAAAAAGAGTTTCATTTTTAGCAATTTAATTGCCACATTATTCTAATGACAGTGTTACCACCGTGAGTGTGAATAATAATTTTGCTAGCTCAAATTAACTTATTATGTATAGGTAGAGTTATATCATCAGATAATAATTTATGTGCGGTTGTCTTTCAATATGCTCTCCCGTGCACATTAAAATCAACGACAACGAAGAAGAATATTTTTTTATTTACTTCAGAATAAACGCACAGGTGCGGGGATTTTGACCTTATTGCCACCTTTCCTTTGCATCCGATGATGTCATTGCGCATCGCCTTACACGAAATAGATAGAGAGTGAGCGACAGAACGCGTTTTTTGCATTATCATATGTCATGCATATCAATGAATAACGTTTAAAATGTTTTTAATTTTCCACATTTATTCATGTGCATATTTCGTGAGTCGAATAAACGGGTCCACGTTGTACCTTAACAGTTTTTCAACATACACCCAACGTGTACGTGGTCTATAAACCGCATAGAAGTCTCTCCCTCTCGTTATATCTCTCTCCTTCGCTTTCTCTTCTTCTCCACTTTCACTTCTATGGAGCAGAAAATAAACTCCAAGGTTATTCTGTATATTTGAATACTACTAATCAACTTTAGCACACCAGATGACCGACCAGTCCCAGTAAATAGTATGATGATGTCGCAGCATTACAAACATTTAACTTGACAGAGCGGAAAAGAGCAAGGGAGAAAGAGAGATAGAATAAAAAAAAGGCAGAGCTTGGAAAAAGTTTGGGAAAAACAACGACGACGTTGACGACAACTGACAGAAAACGCAATGTTATGTGACATTGAATGATAGAATTGTGAATGTCTGATGATGTGGTTCCAATTACTATGAGATCGTGTTTTTCCCGTAATAATACGTATCATACGAGAGAAAAAACTGACTCGTTTTTTCCACGTATGGGCCGCAACGAAAAGGCTACGTTAAACAGAAGCACAGAACGTTAGTCGGTGATTGAGTTTTTCAAACAGAGAATAGGACAATGCATGGTAAGTGCATTCGTTTGCATAAGTGTAAAGTAAAACATGTTCCTCTTTCACCGGTATGTTTCTCTTTTGTTTTAGCATGTCCACCAAATGCAACCTTTTTTTTTGGACTTAGACGAATGTGGCTAATGTAAATGGAGTGAAATCAAATCGGGCTTATTGTGTATGATCAAGATCAGACATCAAATTGGTTCAGTTTTTCAGTGAAAGCTTTCCAGCAGTAAATAATCCCGTAATAAAGAGTATGCAATATGCATCCAATTTGGAAATGTTCATTTTTCTCTATCAAGAAGAAGACGATTTTTTCCTTAAGAAAATGATTATCTTTTCTCATTGTATGTTTAAGGGACACATTATTACCTGATACAGGATGGGAGCATTTTGAATGGCTCTCCAAAAATATTCTAACGGTGAATAATTGTCAGCAAAATACCGTAGGAAAAGGTAAACGTCTAACAAGAATTTTCACCAACGAAAGTCTTTTTGATTATGTTGCAAAAATGTATCAAGATTTAAGGACTAAGTGAAACACTAAATTTCCTCACCAATGAATAAGGAATGTTGTAATTATTTCGTTTGCAGAAGAAAAATGCGAAATATTAACCTCACACTATGATCATGGGGATTCTTTCCGCTTGATTAAAATGCATTTTTACACTTAAAAATCGCTGAATATACACCGAAAAGCCAGCCATTCGAAAAATGTGCATGCAATGAAGATGTGCGAGTGGGAAATTTTTCTCCGCTAGAAAAAAAAAACTCCGTTTTTTTCACTTTACCAATCCAATAGCATTTTATCCACGTCTTACACTCAGGTGTCATATTCACATTGTATCCAATGGCGGTTTTTGTTCATCCACTCTATATGTTGCTCCATTGTAACGTTTGGCAATGGCAACATCCATTGCAAAGATAAAGATATATTCAAAATATGAAGTTAAACTTTGCAATTTTCAATAATTCAAAACTATTTTCCACTCTTTCTCTCCGTCTCGTCGATGCAGCATTACCATTGAACTTTTTATCATATAGTAAACAATCAACAGGGAAAATATTGTTTATATTCAACTGTATGGCAGTTGTTCAGTGATTTGCTAGTTTGTTTTCTTTTTTGCATTGATAAAGCGAACCGATTTGATTGTATATGTGTGCGCGTGTGAGTGTTAAAGAGAAAATCCAACGAGTAACGCTATATAATGTGATTGTATGCAACTAAATAAAATAGGAAAAAGCGTAGAAAAGAGATGACAAAAAAAAAACAACAACCAAATACTGGTGGTAAGAAAAAAAGATGCGAATAGTGGATGAAATTGAATGATGATGCTGTTGCGTTGTGCATGTGCACGTGCGATCAAAATGCAAACGGGAGATGAAAATGTATGGAAATAAAACGAAATGAAATAAAATGAAAGAAAAAAAAAACTATACAGTGCTGTTGGTACGTGTATGATTTTTTATGTCGTTTTTGTTGGTCTCTTACCTGATACATGGAACAGTTGAAGCAGTGCCAACAGCAGCTTTCGCCTTCAACATATTTTTTCGCTTGACCTTTCTCGCACGGCAAACTGCACACTGACTCTGGTGGTTTTGGTTGTTGGGACTTAAATTTCACTTCTGCATTATGTTCGTGTATTGGTTTGCATGCACATTTCACCCGTTGAATGATAGGCATTATTGTATACGTATAGCATGTTCGTGTAAACATAGAGTTTTTTTTGTTCCGCCCCGTTGTTACCAATGATCCGTTCGGTGTATCCATCATTGATTGGCAAGTTTTTTTCATTTTATGTTTTGTTTTCCATTTTGTTTCATTTCATTCGGTTGTGCGTAGAGCGAATATATATGCGATGGATTCCATGGTGATCGGGTCAATGATTTTTTTTTTTTTTATCATGTCGATTTGATGCAATGTATGGAACGTTGGAAGAGTTTTTTCGTTTCGATTTGTATGTGTATAGTAGGAAATAATGATGTTGATAAAAGCATCCGATATCACATATTGAGTTGGTTACAAGAAATTTCAAGAGATGTTCCGATGTTGAGTGCATGGGTCCAACGTTGTTTACGTTAAAAGTTACGTACGATAAATGGCCAAGATCATTTTTGTGTACGAAGAGATTGTGTTGATAAGGGTATCCAATCACGCGCACATAGGTTGAGGCGAAATAAAAAAAAAGAAGAAAACATTTTTGTTAGAAACAAACTTGAAGAGAGAAATCGCCGAACGATGTGATGTGAGAAGTAATTTAAAATAAACAACATGTCGGTTCAGCAAAATCATTTAAAAAAAAAATCTGGAATTTGTACACCGAAGATAACATAAAAGTTCTGTAGGGGCTTCGGAAAGAGTAATAGACTTTTTGCAATATGAAATGATGGAACTCTTTCGGTATCTTTTTTTGACGATCCTTGTTATCCTCATTATTTGTTAACTTTCGAACGTTTGCATATTCGACCACAGATTTAAATTTAAAAATCAACAAATTTGTTGAGCAAAATGAATTAATACTACCAAGCAAGGCAATTCTTGTTACTTTCTTTTTCAACATTTGGTATACATAGATTCATCTGATTACTTCAGAAACATTCCAACATTTTATTACTTGGATTTCATTCGAACGAAGAAAAATTCAATGTGAAAATGCAGATTAAAATTTTCCATTTAAAGTCGGCCAATTTAGACATCAAACAAAGAAAAATTAACCACTTTAACAAACAAAAACATATCAGTTACATTTTCCGCGATAAAAATCTAAACCGTCCGTTTTTTTGTCTCGTCAAACCGTAGTGTCTTACTGTGAAGTTCTAAGCTTCAAATGATGCATACAAAATATCTTTCGAATGTTAAACTTTTAAGAAATGTTGTGCGTTCATATTAAATTTTAACAAGAATTTTCGATGCTCGAAAATGGCAATGGCTTTAATCAAAAGAGAATTTCCACTTACCGTCCATATTCAAACGCAATTCACCCTCATAATATTCACCGACTTTGATCCATCCATATTTGCCCGGCTGCACTTGTTTGAAGTGAATTATATTATATCGTGCTGGTCCATCACCGTTACTATTGAAGTGGAAGCGATCACCACTCAAACCTGTTTCGGAACATATTTGAAATAGAAAAAACACCAAATCGTTTTAATAAAATTCGATTTTCAAAAGTGTACTGGCACTCGAAACGGCAGGGAGTGCATCGATGTTACGATCAATATATACTACAAGTTGTTCATATTATATGCAATTTATTCCAGGCAAATGGGTGCTGCACGCAAAAAGTGCATGTTTTTTATTTGAATTTCTCAAATTTTCCATCAACAACGTTATGTTTAGCACAATTTATATTGACATGCCCAAATTTCTTGCATATTTACTGTGCAAAAATATGCAATGGGGACTTTATTAAACGGACAGAAGCATGCAGATATCATTTGACACCTGTCCTATCATCCTTGTGCCACTTAATATATACTGCTTTTCACATGCATACCATTCATTCAAACACATTTCGAAGCTCAGAATAGCAACACTGCATTTCAGTTTTTATTTCTTATTTTATTTAACCTTAAAGCTAAGTGCATAGTTCCTTGTGAAATGAAAAAATTTCGCCGGTGAAATCTTCACAGGTGATATTTTTATGGTATTTTTTTTATTTTCGAATTGCAAGCATAATGATTTTTGATGCATGAAACAGTTAACTCCTTCTAATATCAACACGACATATGAACAAATTCGGTTTTTGAGTTCATTCTTCTATGTGTTTTGTCTGAACAAATTTTTTTCACGGTCGTGAAAAATATTTCGCGTGCAAAATGTACGCGAAATTGTTTTCACGGCCGTGAAAAAATAAGAAAGACCAAAATACATTAAAGAAAGAATTCAAAATTCAAATTTGTTCATGTGTTGTGTTGATATTGGAGGGAGTTAACTGTTTCATACATCAAAAATCATTATGCTTGCAATTCGAAAATAAAAAAACACTATACAGATATCACCTGTGAACATTTCACCGGAGATTTTTTTTCATTTCACGAGGAACTGTGTACTTAGCTTAAATTCGAATCGTTTTTTTTTTTTTAAATAGATATATACATTGTGGTGTCAGTTGAGAGATTTTTACCTGTGAAATTAACTTTTCGTAAATACTTCAATAGGTCGGCTCCTTTCGTTGGACGCATTGCATCACAAAGACCGGACACACCTCGGCACAGATCCTTGTGCATATCACTGTGTAACCGAAAACAAATACGAAACTCATTAAAACTTGACTGGAATTGTCAAAAATTAGCAACTTTTTTTCGGTGAAAGTTTGGAAATTTGTGTATGTATGTGTATTTATGCTAGAGAATTTATCAACACATTGGACATGAAGCATGAAACCTACTCATTTTCCAATTTGCATATGTGTTGTTATGAGAAAATAAAATTAAATTTCCAGTCTTTTTTTCTGGTTCGAAATGTTTCAACCGAAAAAAACACAGCTAAATCCGTTATTCAACTATGAAATTAAATTAAAAAAAAAAAACAAAACAGAACAAAAGTATTCAATGAACATTTTCAACTCTGACAACATTCCGAAAGGGGTTTCCGAATACAGTGGGAAATACAGGGGTTTCTGGTACAGGCAAAATTGTATATTGTGCCAGTATTTAAAAAAAGCATACTACGCTTTAATAATTCGGCGATAAAAAAATTACAAACATTGCATTCTGTTTTTTTTTTCTCGCATACCATTTTACACTTGGTTGCCGCCGGTGGGTTGATGAATGCTGAATGTTAAATGAAATTAAAGCAATCGTTTGAAACAATTTGTTTCCATCATAACGGGGTTTTCGTTCGGTGAGTGCGAAAAATGTTGTTGCCACTTTTTTACCGTTACTTTCGTTTTGCACATAACATCTGTCCCCTGAATCTGTTGCCAGTATTTAACACATATATGTTCGAACGAACGAAAATTTAAACCCCATCGAGTACACAAAATGCAAACGTGTGAAATGTGTGTGTGTGTGTGTGTATCTACTTTACGGTCCCCATGGTAAATTACCTGAGTGCATATGCAAATGCCATCACAGCGTCGCTAACAAACTGCAATTGACCCTCGAATGCGGTCGTATTTTTTTGTAACTTTTCCTTGGTGGTGCACATTTTTTTGTATTTTTTATTATACGGCGTCAGCGAACTATTCGGGTATCTGCATTCAAAATGATCTTCCCAAAATTCTAAGCGAATAAATGAGAGAGAAAAAAAGAAACAAAATCGAGAATGAGAAAAATAATTCACCATTTTTGGCTTAAAGCTGTTCCTTTCTTTCTCTTTCGCTCTCGCTCGATTGTTTACGAAATCGATGGTGATTCATGATATCCTATTCAGAATATTGGTTCAAGCAAGATTTATTCGATCTCGGGATGTGGATCGGGATAATAAACTATGATTCCCATGCTAACTGAATACGGCAAGATGAGAGAGAGAGAGAGTGTGTGTGTGTGTGTATGAGTATTGGCAATCAAGTAGAAAATTGAAAAACCAGCGTAGTAAATGTATTGCCACATATTGACGTTCTGCATTGAAATTGCCGCGTAGAAAGACGAAGAACGGTGTATAGCTGTACTCTATTTCGTTGGAACTTTCAAAGTTTCAATTCGATTGCTATGTTTTAAAAAGTTCATCAACCGAGAGAGTGAGAGAGTTTGAAACCTATTGAAAAGCATAAATTTCTCGACTAATTTTCAAGGAGACGTGTTTATGAATTTGAATACACAAAAACTTCTGCCAACAACTCGATTGCCATACACAATGCTCACATTTTTTTCCATCCTTATCGAAAATAATTTCTCCACTCAACATAAATTCTGGAATTTATTAATGGTGATGTGTTGTACGATGCTTGCATCTGTTCGCCACTGTTCACTTTTGCATGCAAGTGTGTGTTCATTGCGTGTTTTAAATTTTCGCTCAAATATGCATAAATTCAATCATGGTTTTGTTTTTGTTTGATTTTCAGTCGTTTGTTGCATCCAACATTCGAACACATTGAAGCAGCTTCAAATGGTTGCCAGAGAGAGAGAGAGAGAGAGAGAGAGAGAGAGAGAGAGAGAGAGAGAGCGAGAGAGAGAGAGAGAGAGAGAGAGAGAAAGAGAGAGAGAGAGAGAGAGAGAGCATGAAAAAGGAGAAGGAAGGGTGAGACAAAGGACCATTGCAACCGCTATTCAAAGCAAATTCAAAAGTTAGCATACTAATGCCATGCACCGCAATGTATCGGTGAACATTTGGTTAACTTACACAGTGAATGTGTGCAATATGCGAGTCGTTACGATGCAATACCACTGTACAATTATTTCCAGAGTCATATAGAAGTATGCATACTAGTAGAGAGAGGCAAAAGAGAGAACTCTCCCTTCCTCTTGCCCAATTAATCAGCTACAATTTACTCGAAGTTTTGGTTTCCAACCCGATCCACAATTTACGGTCAACATGTGATAAATACGCCTTAAACGATGAATGCATTCAAAGGTCGTAATATAAAAGCCAATCAAATTTCATTTATTTTAATGTATTCACAAAAATCAACGTTTATTCTCGATTCTTCGACAGTATTTAATGGAGAACAACCAACGGAAAAGGCCAACAGAAAAGCTCACTCTCTTTGCTTGCATTTCGGATAAATGTGTTGGGAATTCAGATTTAATCTCAGCGAGCGAGTATCATTACGGCTGATCAAATTGTTACAATATAATTTAGATGGATACAATCCATTAAATATTTGCTTACTTACCGACAAACCATGGATTCCGTGCGTTATTTTCAACGGTGAGTCCGAGAAAATGCTGTTCAAAGCCTACCACTGGATTTGCTTGAGGTTGCACAGACAACGTTCCTTCGACCTGTGTGTATGTGTGTGAGTGTGTGAGTGTGTGTGTGTCATCAGAATGGAAATGTTCGGATTCAAGCAGCCGCAGCAGCAGTAGTAGTAGGGAATTCATTAATGAGAGAAAAGAAATCAGATCACCGAGATAAGGTTAAATAAATGAGAGTAAAAAAAAACTGCAAGAAATTCCCATAAATTTGTTCGCCAACTATGCACTTGATTTATTACTATTTTCCGTAATTTAAGATATAGACAAAAATGAAGACGGAAAAAAATTGGGGAACAAGATACTCGAGTTATAGAGAGAGAAAAAGAAGAATGAATACTGAACAGATTTAAAGGTACAACACAGTTACGTATTTCTCTTGCCATCTTTCAGGAAGCTAATATACTTCACAACATATTGAGTGACAAAAGTCCATGGAAAATGATTCACAGAGTGTTGAATCACATAATGTTGTTGACATTATGTGAAATTGGGCAGTGGCCGTAAGCACTCCACATGAAACGTAAACAAGTTTGTATGCTTCGTTCTTTCATTCGTTCATTCGAGACGAAAGCAGTTTAGATCGCGTTCCACACAACATGAAAGAGATATATGGAAAAGAAAAAAAAAAATGAATGCACGGAGGATGATAACAACGATGTGCAAGTGCATCGTGCATATACTAAGTGATGCGACGTAATAAGCGGTGAATGTGCCATACTTTGAATTGCTTTTGTGAAAGAATGTTGTGAAAACTTCAATTTGACAAGGTCCACAGAGATTCAGACAACTTCTTTTATACTGTGACATACCAAGCCACGAACATGTTTAGCAATGAGTGTGTGTGTGTGTGCACTATGCAGTGTTTTTATTCAAGCAAAAAATGGTCGCATAGAAAACTTTGATAATTAGGTTCTTTTTGAAGAGCCATCGTAGAACGAAAATTTTAATTAAATCATCATCACCAATATGTGTCAAATTCTATATATATATATATATATACATATATGTGTTTGTGTTTGTGTGTGTGTGGTACTCAATCTAAGGGCCAATAACTAATTCCACGAAATCACTTCGTTCACATCGTTCGAATGAAACGTATTCCGTATTTATCCATTTTCAAAGGCATTTTTGTATCAATCGCAAACATAATCCTTGATATTTTATTCATCTCTTTTATTTGTATGAATGAATGACAACGATGACGACGACCATTTGCCAGACAAATTAATGGTATTTCATGGAATAAAAAGCGTACGGCATTTCGGTCTCCGTTTCTTTTTTCCTATAATAAAGCGCATTAGCTTCACAACCAAATATAATAAAGATGAACGCAACAGAATGGCATGGCTCACTGGACCATTAAATCATTTCTTATTGTGCATACGGAGATCATTTTTTTTCTCGTCTTTTTTGCAAAGCGTCTGCATGGCGTACGTATAAGTCATCAGTGTTGCGTTAACTTTATCTGCATATGTACGGATTTTTTGTTGTTGCTGTTGTTGTTGTTGTTGTTGTGTTGTGTTACTAGGGCTGTATGCTTTGATAGTACGTGATTTTTCCTTCTTTCTCTGACATTTCATTTGCATATTTTCGTTTTATAGCATTCGGTTGTGTGCTATTATCGTTAGGCTATGGCTTCGTCTTTGCTGTAAGAATTTCGTTTTTAGCACAAGACTATTGCAGATAAGAATACCCGTCGGAATTTTTCTCATAATGCATTAACCCAATCGCTTATTAATTCCTCATTTTTGTTGCTTTTTTTCCTTATCTTGTACTGGTTTTTGTTCCCTTTATTGTTTATGAGTCCGTTGTGCCATATTCAAACCCATCTACATTTCGAACGAGTTTTCAATGAACTTTTGGAGCTGCTTGCATATTTCAATAGTGTCGACCAACAGATAATTATATATAATTTATATTATTTAATTTTTAGTATATATACTTTTAATTACTGTGGCGCTTTCGACAAAAAAAAGAATCACACTTTTCCCGTCATTCGGAATTCTTCCACTTTTATGCCATTTTAATGTGCATTTCGAGATTTTTCGAAAACTTACTCTTTTTATCTTGCCCTCTCTATCTAGCTCGTTTGGCTCTTCGAAAAAAAAAAATTCGCTTCATTCTAATTTGCCTCTTGATGATGTGTTCACATTTAATGAGAAAAGTTTGAAAATGGTAAGAGAGCGAGAGAGAGAAGGGGATGCATAGTTGATGAAAATTAGTTCTAAATTAAAAACTCGAAAATCCACATTCAAACTCGTTGACTTACTCTATCACTGACTCGTTTAATGTGCATACGAGCAAATGCGAGCGAACGGCTTATATTCATATATAGAGTACGTATATGTATATATCATTAGCAATTGCACCATGAGAATTCACTTTGCTCCCATTTATTTGATTCTTGACTTACTCATGTATATACACATGATCTCTCATCCCTATCTTGTTCTCTGTCTCTCTTTTTCTCACTTTCCATTTATTGCCATTTTCTTCGCTTCCAAACTACCAAGCGGGTGCTTTTGCTTGCAATACAACAATTTATTGCATACTCCATACATATATTTTAAAGTGAAATACCCCACATAATATGCACGAGTCAGAATGAAATAAAATATTATAATTATCTAATAAATGAGTTTCAGTTTGCGATTTATTTTATTTCAGTCTGTGATTTTTTCGTGGAATAAAAGTTCAGGTAAATATTTAAGGTAGGTATTTAAATCAGTTTTTTCGACAACTTTTGTATGAAATTTCGATTCATAATGAAAATTGTTGGATGTTTGAGTGAGAGATTGAAATGGAAATTTTGGCACGGAAAATGGAGTTGAAACGAAGCGTGCATCTATTAAATTGATATGGTATTTTGGAGAAGAGCAGCAACAAAAATGAGTACGGAGAGAATCTCTTGTTTTTGTTGCTATTTAACGGTTGTTAAATGTTAAAATTCATTTCAATGATGCATTTTATATGAAGGAAAAACACATATTTTTCTCATTTTCAGTAGATTTTCTTTCAAACCATTGCAATCGAAATTGAAAATATAAAAGTTATAAAACTCGTGTGAAATATGCGCAATATCTATGTAGCCGGAGCAGTTTCAATTGGCTGTGTGTAAGAAAGGAAGACACAGTTGAAATTTATCAAAGAGTGTTCATGATATTAAAGAGAAACTGCAAAGTGCAGACGGTTGTTGACCCAACAATGAACTTAGTTTTGCTTGTAATTTGAAACAAGAATGCATAAGCAATTGAAATTCTTGCAAAACAACTTGTTTTACTTCGATTGGTGGAATCTTGAGTGCTTGTCGAAAATGTCCAACATCTTGCACGTGTGCTTTTCTCTCCTCCGGGGTTTTTGCTTTTGATTTCTCTTTTCTTTTTTTTCTTGCTGGAATATGTATGTTTGTGTATTTTACCTCAGGTTCATTTCCGTCGGATACCAGATTTCGTGCTGACCAACCGTCCGAGCCAATCCATGAAAATGTTCCAGTTGCATTGTTTCGACGAACGGCACGCATCACTTCACGTACTTCTTGGTCGGACCCAAAGATAATCACACCTAAAATGGAAGAGATGGAGAGAGAAAAAGCGTGAAATAAACATCTAAAATTAGTTTGTTTCGTGATATTTGACCATTTCAAAAACGAACGCAAACGATTTCAATGACCAGATTTCCTGTGAACAGTAGATAAATCATTATTTTGCACTTGCTACGAATGTTTATCATAATTAGGTATATTTTGACATGTGTTTAGTAACGTGTGCAAACTATCAACATTTACCAACCAAAAGGGAATTTGTGTGAAAATGAGTAAGTCAGCAGAGAGATAGAGATGATGCTGAGTGCTGACACAGACACAACATTGGAACTCACAACAGCACACAAAAACGAACAACAACGACAACATGACAAGCGAACCGTACAAAACTTTGATTGTGAACTCAAAATTCACAAGTGCCTTGTGAGCGTGTAACTATCATCAACTATAGCTCTATCTCCAAGCGGATTAACTCCCCCGCCTCTCTCTCTCTCTCTCTCTGCGATGCCAGAGAAAAGGCTACAATTTAATTGAATTGAATTCACTAATTTTCACCATCACCATTTACACTCTCTTCAAAGAATCGCACAAATTCTCTCAAGGGGCACTTCGTGTACACTGCTGACGTTTGAGTCCGCATAGTGTCAGAAGTTCAAAATTGGCTTTAAATGAGCATCTCTAAATGGTTTGCATTTAAAATATCAAAGGTCATTTGGCTAGTGTAGCTAAATGCTGTGTGTGTGTGTGTGTGTGTGTGTGTGTGTGTGTGTGTGTGTGTGTGAATACTGGAGCCACTCCAGAACTAGTTTGTGCTGGTTCAAATTTTTGGGTCATTCCATAAATTCAACTAGTTCTACATCTAAAAAAAACCACCCGATATATCATATTTACTTCTAATGTGAAGGTAAACAACAATCCATTGTGTACCTCATTGAATTTGTTGAGCAGGAAATTCGAATGAAATAGGGAATTTGTGCAAAATTGAGCGTCGAACCCAGATTAGCCCATTTTATACAAACCTATTTTTTCTATTTGATGAAATGAATGGCCGTTTTGAAATAGAGAATAGAAGCATTTGACTGGAAGATACCAGTTTTGTGCATTAAAAATTGCTAATTTGATCAAACAACGTCAATTAATAATAACTAAAAGTAAGTATGGCTGCTGAATTTTTCGTTCTTGCATTAGCAAGTGTATGCCATATCTTAAATCCGCTTTAATTAATGATAATTATTAGCAAACAGAGATCGAACGAACAACTGCTGCATCGCATTATACAATTTCATCGAAGAAAAATACAACGGAATACATTTTCAATGCGCAAAACAACAACGAAAACCACCAACTTGAAATTGTGCCACAGAAAATGCTTGTCTGATAATTATTAGAGCGAATGGAGAAAGTTCCTCAAATCGCTTGAACTCAGTAGAATAAAAAGTATTTAAAAATAATACCGAGTAAGCAAGCAACCAACCATTCATACACATACACAACGGCTGACAGTGATTTAATTGTACCGCATATTTTTTTTGTTGCTTCTGTTATTCGCAGTCCAAAATAAAAAACCAACTGCTACTTGTAGCCGGCGCAATGCAGAAGTGGCGCCATTTACACGTGTAAAGTGCAATATTACCCGGGTGAATGCGATACGCTTTGATGAAAGCCTACAGTCGTTCGATGAGGCTTTCATAATTTTTATATACATTTTAAATACTAAACGCCTAGGCTTTCAATGCTACGAATGCACGAAAGAAGTGAGAATAGCAATGAAAGCCTAGGCGTTCAGTATTTATAATGTATATAAAAATTATGAAAGCCTCATCGAACGACTGTAGACTTTCATCAAAGCGTATCGCGTTCACCCGGGTATACAATGGCAGTGAGATAGTTACGAAATTGATGGCAACAACAAAACGTGTATTGATGGTTCTTGAAAGTGCCACAAATTGCATTCCGGCGCCACTTCTGTACACTATTACATTGAATGCATTGGTTCTTTTGGCAAACAAGTTATACAAAACTCAACACAGATATCAATAAATTAACAGATTTTCGGTTTAGTCAGAATTTGTAAAATCTGCTTGTGGCTGCTAGCGCTACTCTTCTGGTTGTAAAAAAAAAATCGAGAGAGAGAGAGAGAGAGAGATAGAGAGAAAATAGAAATAGGAAAACCCATTCAAATGGAGAGCGGATTTTTTCCAAAAAAAAAAACATTTTTGTCATAAACTATCCGTTTAGTTAATTAACTATGTTCACATGTTGCGGTTGATGTTATTTAGCACTTGACAGTTGCAGAATACCAAAGTCAGATTCATTATGTGAAGCACCATAAAATAGAGTAGACATTGGACAATATTATTTCAATGCTTTTGGATGAGCTAGCCTGGGTAAGCTAAAGATCTTTTGGAAAGAATGAAACATAACAGAAGAAAAAAAAAATACACCAGCATCAACACCAACATCAGCAGCATCAGCAGCTGTGAAGCATCGTTGTTTTATGCGAACGGATAATCCGGCGTATCCATGGCACATAAAAAACTGCACTTCCAACTCGATTTTCTATTATTTCAATCGCAATTCTTGCTTGTCATTTCATTTCGGTTTATCCTGCAATATGCATTCTTCTTTCTCTCCTTTTGTCTCAATCCATGTGCTTGGTTCTCTCTGTCTCTCTCTCTCTCTCTCTCTCTCTTCCTCTCTCTCGGTCTCTGTGTTTATACTATCTCTTTGTTGCTCTTTTTTTATGCGCTTATATTATTAAATTGATGCTTTACTGGATTTTTTCTCTCTCCAATTGTTGTTGTTGTTGTGTCGGTTGTTTTTCGTTACTGTTGTTTTGTTATTGTTGTTGTTTGTCCTTCAGTTCGCTTGCTTACCCATAGGAAAATATGAAAAATTATGAGCGAAACGATTTGAAAATGGTGAAAGGCGAAAGGGACAAAAGCCAATGTCTTCTGGTTAGAAAAATAGATTGATATCATGGCGTTGGGGCTTTTCTGTGCGCTTTGTACGCGCCTCTTGGGAATAAAATCCGAGTTGATGGTGGTGTGTCAACCGAATAAAGGTCTAGTTTTGTTTTGACAGAAAAATTTAATTTACAAATTCTTCCATCTCTTTCATTCTCTCTCTCTCTCTAGATCGATTGGTGTGCAGTGGCACGGTGCACATACACACAACATTGAGGTCATTTAAAGAATTGTCGCATTTTCTCCAAGTATTGCTCTGCGGACCATCGAATCAGTATATCCAACAGAATCTGGTCATATACTGATTATAGCTGTTGCTATTGTTCAAGCAAATGCAGATGGTTGCAATCCTCATCTCAACGTGAAGAGAACGGTGGTTTAAAGTCACAACTGTCTTGTCTCAGTTTTTGATTTTTATTAGCATTTTGTGACATTTCGCAACTTTTTTTCCATTTTCCACCGTTATTCCCTGTGTGCATTTGGTGCGCGCATGGTCGCGAATGCTCAGATGGCGTGTGTACAGATTTATTTTTAATATTAACTTGCATGAATACATTCGTTTTGAATTGTCGAGCGAACGAGCTTTGAACGGAATATACCATTTATGCGTATATAGAAGACACTGTTCAACTCAAACTCTTTCGTTCTTCAATGCGAAACTATGTGCCGGGTGGAAAATATCGCATGCTAAGCTATAATATGATGACACATTAAAGGGACCATAACAATAGTAATGGTTTTCCATTGACATTCACACTCGGCATGAACGATTTATAATGCAAGTAAACGCGGCGTTTATCACGCAAAAAAAAAACGAACATATCTTTTGATTATTTTCGTTTTGGTTTTTGTGTCTTTGCTTACTAACAATTATGTTGGATAAGGACAAGAATGTTATGCTTGAGAAAAAAACAGAACAATCAGCTTGCAGCATCCAAACGCTTAAAACGGAAAATCGAATGTCACTTTGATTGTAAATCATGTTGCATGTACAAGGTACACACACACACACACACACACACACACACAGTTTCATTTGCTTCGTTTCTTTTCTTTTCATTTTAAATGATATTACACACGTCATTCAACGGCATGCAATGCACAAAAAAAAGAAAATTAAAGCAGCATATCGCCCGGGTAAAATCCGCTCTCTAACCCGAACATAGATATACCATGACACACACACACACACACCCACGTTGTGCCCGGTTGTGTGTGTATGAGCAAGATATTTGCTTTTTATCGCAATTTTTTATTACTTTCGAAATTACAGCTACAAAAGCGTTTCGTTTGTCTGTTGCTGATTCTAATTTTCTTGCCATGCTTTGTGTGAGTGTGAGCACTGTGCACGCTCTTCTTTGCCAAAGCGATTGCTGCTGCGATTCTCTTTTTTTCTGATTCTCTTCTCTTTTTTTCCGTTAAATTCATTTTAAAGCGCTTTTATGGGCAATGGAATTTAACATAAAAAAAATAGTCACGCTGAATTTGCATGCGGTTTGAACAACATACACACACACACACACACACACACACACACACAGCCATTGTTCTATTCACGGCCAAAATCAGAGTGTCAACCATGTCGGAAGAAAGAAAGAGGAATTTAGAAGAATAGATAAGAAAGGAAAAGAGAACAGAGCTGAACAAAATAAAAAGAGAGCACATTTTCAGCGCGCTATAGAGGATACACTCTCAAAACGGTGATAACATTTAAAGCCAATGCGTCTCACTTGATTGCTGCTTGCTTGAATTTTAATATCGATTCGCATCCCTTTTCTTCTTTTTCTTTTTCTTTTTGTGAAAACACATTTTATACCCAATTCGCACAATAGATTTTGACTACCATCAATTCCCTCCATTTTAAAAGTATGCTTAAGTTTGTTCGTCATTTTAAGTTATTAAATAAATATCCTGGCATTATACACACATACACATACAATATGAATGTTGCAGTTGAGAGTGTTACGCAAAATGGTTAGCAATAACTTTGACGAAATCAGGCCATCCCAACGGATTTAGATGGTGTTCTCGTTTTATTCACATTTTTTTGATTA